ATTAATCAAACAATATATTTTAAAGCGAATCATTATATTATATTTTCAGTCCATAGATAGTCTCAAGACGGAGTGTGTGTCATGAATTTTCCGACAAACTGAAGTGGGGGCACCCCCCCCCCAAAAAAAACACACACCTAAATGTCCACCACTGCTGTATGGGACGGAAATATGGTTGCTTCACCGGGTTGTGTATAAATAATTTGTAAAAAAATGAGCTGTCACCCACAACTGTTAGGAACAGCGCTTATGAACTTTTACAGTGAAACTTTGAATGAAGAGAGACGCATATAATAAAAACAAAACATTGATTATATTCATTGAGATAAAATACAGTTTGTGTGAATATAATTTAAGTCGCTATAATCATTACTTCTTTAAATTTCAAAACATTATTTAGTAAGTTTTTATAAGTCAGCTACCTTTTTATCCGTTTATATTTTCACAGTTTAGTTTTTGTTTCTTCAAATACGACACGTAACAAATAAACACTTACTGTTTACGAAGATTCTGTGTTACTCGTCTTGACGTATGAAAAAGAGTTGAGCTATTTATTGCTTACTTAGATCGTCGCTGTCTTTTTAACTGCTTACTAATGATTGACGGTCTTCGTTACTTGTGGTTTCTCGGCACCAGCTTTCAAAGTGCCCGAGGTAGCAGTGGCAACTTGGACGATTTTCGTTCAATACGAATGCACACTAACCTGTTGGATATACGCTGAAATTAACACCCATTATGTCCTTGGTTAAGCGCGTTCGTTTGGTCTAACTGGCGCCAGCAGGGACTTGTTATTTTACTCAGCTTTCTATAGTGCTAAATATTTATCTCAACAAAGATCCACACTTGTAAAAAATAATGGTGTTTATAGAGAAAAGTCACAATGGACTACCAGCTGTGTCCACTGTAGGGAATCAACTGGGGATTTTAGCGTTATAAATGCGTAAACTTATCTCTGTACCTCCAGGGAACTATTGTCTTTTCATTCATAAGTTCATGTTTTTCAAAGCTGCTTTCTCCTGTACTCTGTCTACGGTCAACTAGAGACGTGATTGCACATTCGTACTTGACCTAGTTTCAGTAGCACAAACTTATTTTATAAATATTTCTAATTTAATACATATTTCATTTATAGTTCTCCCATTAACTGCTCAATTTCCTTTATTTTTTGAAGTTCTCTTTTAAATATTTAGCTCATTTCAGTATTATCTATACAACATTCTTAGCTTTTTTAGTTGCGTGTAATAATACTGAAACTTATCATTTAAGTATCATTATTTAAAAGTTGTGCAGATTTATCTTAGACAATATTTCAGGCTTTCAAAGAGCTATCTCCCCTTGAACTTTGAGACCAATTGTCATTATTAGTACTCTGGTCATACTATAGTATACATATATTAATTAATCAACCAATCAGTTTCATACATTTTGTTATATTAGGTGGATGATCAAATGAAGCTACTACAGAATTCTTGGAGTGACATGCTCCTTTTGGACAACATTCACCAGCGATTACATAATGGTCTCCCTAATGAAACAGCACTACCTAATGGTCAGAAGTTTGACCTTTTGACTCTAGCACTATTGGGATTGCCAGCTCTTGCTGAACCATATGAGCATCTGTTATACAGTCTTCGGGAAATAAAATTTGATCCAATGGATTACATCTGTGTCAAGTTTCTTATTTTGTTGAATCCTGGTAAAAAACATTTTTATTTTAGGTTTTAAAGCTTATGAAACTCTTGTAGATAGATTAAGTACACTTCAAGGTCTGTAACCTTGTTAATTTCTTGTGAAAAGACTAGGATTTTTTTCAGGTCTAGAACTTCATTGAAACATAGTGAGATTAACATTTTCCAAAAAGATGCTTTATCAATAGAGAGTAATTAATATACATACTTTTTAGCCTTCTTTTACTAAATATGAATAAGTTTACTAGTAGTGACACTGACATGTAGTTTCTCCTCTTGCTAAAACCTTTTAAGTATGCTTGAATTTACATGTAGATTTTAAATTAAAGTTTTAATGAGATGAAAAACAAGCTGTAGAAAAATTTCTAATAACATTTCCCTGATTTTGTAAGAAAATATTTGTAAATTTGGTAATATCCTGTTTAAGTTGGGGTTTTTTTCAGCTACATAAAGATATTTTCTTTTTCCTAAACTTTAAGAAAAAAGATTGTTGGCCCAAGCAAATGAAGGTATTTGGAAAATGATAACAAAAGTAAACATTCTTGTATTTTCATTAGTTTCCTGTATTTGTAAAATATTTGATATGTAGACTCTATAAGAACATCCATAATTTTTTAGGAGTATATAACTAAAAGTGTTTTAACCATCATGTGCTTATTGTAATATAAAACGTTCATATTGTTGTAATTTCTTCTTTTGCTTGCTTCCAGAAGTTAGACAGTTGTCAAATGTAAAGGTAGTTCAAGAAGCTCATGAACAAATCAAACAAACACTTGTGGACTACATCAAGAACTGTTATCCAGAAGCCAAAGTAAGTCAGATCAGGGTACATCTTTTGCATGCAAATAAGTAAAAGCAACATTTGTAACTCAAAGATAATTCAATATTGTAGTATTAATTTCCATCCACCAGTAACCATTTGAAGAAAAATTATCTGTATTTCAAACCATTATAAATTGGTGACACATTGATATTGACAGTACATTAAAGTAGACAGGAAAAGTTAATAACATTTCATTAGTTACTCTTGTAGAATACTTAAGGGTATTTGTTCTTATTTGTAATAGCTAGATGAAGGAACATTTCAATATTTTATCCTTATCTGTAAGACATGGAGAAACAATGCAATATTTTATCTTTACCTATAACACATGAAGAAGTGTTGCAATATTTTAACACCATTTTTAATGTATAAAGAAATGTTGCAATATTTTAACACTATTTGTAATGTATAAAGAAATGTTACAATATTTTAACACAATTTTTAATGTATAAAGAAATGTTGCAATATTTTAATACTATTTGTAATGTATAAAGAAATGTTACAATATTTTAACACTATTTTTAATGTATAAAGAAATGTTGCAATATTTTAATACTATTTGTAATGTATAAAGAAATGTTACAATATTTTAACACTATTTTTAATGTATAAAGAAATGTTGCAATATTTTAATACTATTTGTAATGTATAAAGAAATGTTGCAATATTTTAATACTATTTGTAATTTATAAAGAAATGTTGCAATATTTTTATCTGTAAGACATGAAAAACATTTCACAGTACATGAAGAAATGTAATATTTTATTCTTACCGATAACACATGAAGAAATATTGCAATATTTTATCTTTATTTGTAATATACGAAGGGACATAGTATTATTTTATCTTTATCTATAACTCATGAAGGAAACGTAATAATATTTCATCTTTATCTGTAACACATAAAAGAAAGCAGCATTTACCTTTTATCAGTAACTTCTATAAGTTACTTATCAATATGTTATTCTGATCAGAATAATATGAGTAATTGTTAGCAAATCATCATTTCGCTTTGTGTCAATAACACTAAAGAATATGATCAGTATATACATTTTACTTCTGACGTTTATTCCTGTTTTTTTTCTAACTTACATCTCTGTATTTTGTGTAGGATAAATTCAGCCAATTGGTCCAGTGTATCTCTGAGATCAAGCATATTAGCAGAAGAGGTGAAGAATTCCTCTATCACAAGCATCTCAATGATAATGCTCCCACACAAACCCTGCTTATGGAAATGTTACATGCCAAGAAGAAATAATTATATATGATCATCTAAGAGACAACAAACATAGTTCGAGATAGTTTAGTCATAAGACTTGTATTGTTCTGTATGATCTTAAGTCAACTATACAGGTCACATGTTTAAAACATTCGTCTTATGGTGGCAGATTTGAATAACTAAATTTTTATTTTGCAAGGTATTTTATTCTTTGTGTCTGATCAACATTAAAAGTTACTTTGTCAATGAGTAGTTTAATTTGCTATTTCTGCAATTAAGCAAGCTAATAATATTAAGACATGGCTGAATAGAAGTCTTCTGATTAGTTTTGAGTGCTACCTGAACACAAAGTCTAGTATTTTTAAGCACTAATAATTATGTTTCTAATTACATTAATAAATGGAAACAATAATGTTCCATAACAGTCTGTAATCTTAGCCAGATCACTTGTAATTGTGTTTGATTTTATCTAGTAATGCCTGTAATTCTAGCTAGTACCACTTGTAAATGTGCTTGTATCCATTTTCTCATGTAGTTATTTAGTGCCATCACTGCTAAACCACTCATCTTATAACTTTTGATATAAAAGTAAAGAACTTGTACTAAATATAACCTTTTCTTCAAAGAGTCATTCTGTAGCTGACAGATACACATTCCTTGTTCAAGACATTTTTATTCTCATCTTAGTGTTACGATGTGTGTGTGCCCAATATTTTCAACTGTTTTTAGGTACTGGATAAAAATAATGATTATCATCATGAGGGTGGATAATAAAAGTGACAGCTATTTTGTGTAAAATCAGAGGAATCTGTTAGTGATGCCTACTACATAGACTTGTTGAAAGAGGTTATTTTTTGTTTCTTCTTCGCAAACTCACTATTTTTTTATTTTTGTGATGCATAAGGCAAAAGGGCACTCACATTTATATTTACTCATTCACCTGAAACTTTGTATAGAAATTTTCCCAAAGTTTTGATGGTGATATCAGTTCAGGCAATTACTTTTCCTGTAATCCATACCTCCAATATTCTGATGGGGGTAAAGCTACAGTTTGTAGGACATAGGCCAATGAAAAAAGGTTGGGGAACAGTGCCCCCTTTTTTATAATCATTTGTTAAGCTAATGTGTAGCAAAGTTCACCATGTATTTTGGTCTGTTTTTTAATCTAGAGAATAAATTATTTTTTTTGTGGGGGAAAGAATTGTTTGAACCTCTAGCAGCTGCTGTTACAAGACACTGTGAGGGAATATGTCAAAAGGTGAACTGTTAGTATGCTTTCCTGGAAAACAAGAAAGTTATTTAACTTTAGTTATTCCCCACTAACTTGCTTGGGGAGAATTAACGTTGAAACTGTCACCTACAGTATAAATAATTCTCTGAGTAGCTTTTCTAATATGATAAGGTAAATGTATAAAAATAAAGTGTAAATATCATTTAATTTTTTATGTTTTGTTTTCAATGCTGCAAAACGCACAAGTTTCTGCTAAACTGAGGTTGCCAGCATTCCTTGTGTAGGTTCAACACTGCCACTGTTAATCCCATTGACTGAAGTCATTCAACATACATGTTTGAGGGATTTTGTACATGATGGTGGTTTGTGAGCATTATGATGCTTTCCAGTAATTGTTAGTTTTAGAATAATTGTTACTGTTATTATTACTGATGTGCCTATATGATTTTAAATTTAATGTTATAGTTGCACAGTTTAGTAATTTATCTAACTGGTGATATGTAATTGCACTCAGAGGTGGATCCAGGATTTTTTGCACCAGATCATGAAACTTTTGAAAAAATTAACTTTTTTTTATATTAAATTTAAAGGTATCTTTGTTTTGTAGTCCACAGAAAAGAGGGGGTTGCAACACCCTCTCTGATTTATCCCCTTGCACTACTATGTTACCAGTGTTCATCCATACCACATGATTTCAACAATATCTAGTTGGTTAAAGACAATATTAAAATGTATTTGAGACATATCATAACTGAAACAGAAAAATACACCTATTAATATAAACCAGGTGATAAATAATAGTTTCACACACGAGTATTTGCATTTTTGACACATAAAACTGTTGGTCGAAAGAAAAGTTAATAAAAATGGCAAGACTTTTTTCTAGATTAATAAGTCTTTGATAAGTTACTATGATAAATTTCTCCAGAAATGTATATGTTAAATCATTTCAAATTTTTCTTAAAATTCTGTAAGTAATCAAGAAAGCTGTCAAGTTGAATTAATTATTTAATAACAATATTCCTTGGTTTTAATTTCATGTTTTGTCTTATTTTACTCAGCTTATATTGCTTTGGTGCCCTGCAATCAAATAAGCTTGTCTTAGTTATTAGTTATATTACAAAGTGCCTTCTATATAATGAAAAAAAAAGAAAAACCTGTTGCAGGCCTTCCAATGCCACCTATTTTTTTGTAAAAAATTCCAAATTTTCCCTCCTTTATGGACACAGTTTGTGCTATTACCTTTTTCAGGTCAACTGTGTGAAATTTAAACCTTGTGAGTGACAATTTGGCTGACTCAGATGTTTTTAATTATACAGACGAGATTTCTGAATGTTTTCGTGATATTGGGAAAACTTGGTGTGTGTGTATATAAGAATATAACAAACGTGACCTTCTAGGCAAGTACATCATTAGTTACTAATTACCACACACTTGAATAAAATGTCATGTCATCCTATTACTCTGATGTTTTAATATTATTCCCTATAATTTGCCCTACTTTTTCTTTAACTCCTCTGTAAAATTAGCCCTATTCTTCCTTGATATGCCATTGAAAGGCCTATTGTTTGGAAAGCTGAAATTCTTCTATTGGAGACAGGTTATTTTTGAAATTCTTTCTGCAGTTAAAACTTTTTTTTTGCTTAAAAAACTACGATACTTGTATTAACATTAATACAAGTAAATTGTTTGTATTATAAGGTTTAGCTAAAGCAATTTGCTGAAAACTTAAGTAAAACTTTTCAATATACTTTTTTTTTTTCACTAAGGAAATATCTGTTACTGGAAACGTTACAGTCTTAGCATACCAACACCGCAGTTATTGGCATTTCAATTAAGGTATTAGTGAGGTTGGACTATTGTCCTCTACACTGTATAATTACTTAGAGATCAAAATCATACTGTTTTGTATGTTGATATAGAAATAAAATGTTTTATGGAATTGACAAGTTGTTAGTATTTCTGTAAGTGAAAAAATATGTTTCCACACCTTCAGCTTCTTATTTTTAAATGTTTCATAAAATGATGATTTATTTGTGGATGCTTTTCCTTGCCTTTAATTTCTCGTCTTCTTACTCTTCATTTAGTTTAGTTGTTTTTTTATCCCAGTTACCATTTCAGTACCTCCTATTCCTAGATCATGTTGTAGTTCATTTGTTATCACACCATATTATTAGAACTTATTTTATCCTTTGAATTTTATATAAAAATCCTTTATCACATCATCATTCATTCCACAATACTTCTCAAGCTCTCCAGTTTCACATCTAAGGTTCTTTACAAGACACAATATAGTATCTAAAGTTACAGTTCATTCAATAACAGGTATCAGTTTTCATATCTTAAATATATATTGACCTGTAAATGAAAAGAAAGAGAAACAAACAGAGTATAATTGTTTTTTACAACTTGTGTAAAATGTTGAAATCTACATCTTTGGAAGAATGTAATGAATCAGGTTTCTCTGTTCTTTAACACTATACATGGTCAAGAAAGATTAGTTTTACAACCAAAGCCCAGAAAAAGTTTGTATCAAATGTTTCTTTTTAATAACTAAACAAGAACTATGTAATATTAAGTTATGTCAAAAGTGCTAATAACGGTTAATAGTGTATTGCTAGGCAAGTTAAAATAATAGTACTCTCTTAATACTGTATTTCTAGTTAATGAATGATTGTTTTTTTGTACAGTACGAGTCCTAAAATACCATGTAATAGTAATATGTGTCTACATTATTGTAATTCAGATAAGCAGTATGAACAAGATAAAAATAAATATATTTCACCTTCATATAATTTGGATAAAAATAAATTATCTTTGTTTTAATGGAATCTGCATGGGGCCTATACAAGAGAAGAAACATTGACTGTGATTCTGAATCTACTATGTGTATCCACATAAAATGTGACGAGTTTGTTGTACACAAGAAAATCAGATGTGTTACAAAAGTGTCTGTGCTCATGATAAGTCTGTGAATTGATGATGTCAACCTGACCACTGACAAGTCAGAGTGCAAGGTGATGTGCATGTGAATAAATACTTTTGTCTGTCATACAGCTGCTATATTGTATTTGCATAACTTCTAGAACTTCCAAAATGTATATCTAATTTTTAAGTATCCCCACATATTGTATATGGTACTTACTCTCATCTACAACAAACTGTTACTAAGTCATCAGTGTAGGGTGCAATGAATAGTTGATAACTCTGACATCAAATACATAACATGTTGAATGGCACTCTGTAAAAGGTCATGGCACTTGGGTTAATTTGGATCAATATATGGTAACTTGTGTATATTTTCATATGAGACAAAGAGGTATAATGATTGTAGATTCATATGACACAAAAAGGTGATTGGTGGAACCTTCATATGAGTCAGAGAATTAAATGACTTGTTTTCATATGAGAAAAAAAAAAGTAAAGATTTGTAAGTTCATATGATGCAAAAAAGGATAAATGGATATTGCTGATATCACTAATGCAGTTTTAGTTTCAAACAATTTCAAATCTATCTAAATATCTACAAAAAGCCAAAACTAATCCCCATAGATACACTGGTTACATCTTATCTTCATTTTAAAATGAAATGATTCATATCAGTGCCAAGATTCTTCATCAAGCTTTCATGACATTAAGTAAGTAAGATACCATTTTATCTACATAGACACAACACCTGACTGCAACAAAACAAAACCCACTTTCTTTTGTTGTTAGTGATGTCAGTGAAAATGGAAAAGTAATTAAATTTTTACTAGATAAAATAGTGTGCTCTGATAAGAGGGTAGTATGAATAGTTATACTACAGAATCATTTTGTAAAGCATAGTCTTTGGTTTGGCAATTTCTATAACCAAGGATAAGATAACTGACCTACTATTTATGACTATTATACACTGATCTACAGACGAGTGTGAAAGATCAACTCCAAGAGCATATTATTTGCTCTGAGTAGCAAATTGTACTGTATTTCTCAGCACAACTGCTGTTTAAGCCTATATTAGAATATATTGGGTACGATGGTAACTTTGACAACGAAACTGTGAGTGCAGCTACATCCTTCTCGAAAATTTACAACTTTGAATTATGCTTCTGCCTGGTCACAATGGTGAGGAAATGAACATTGCAACAGCAATATCTTAACTTCGAATATTTCAGAACTTAAAAAGAACAAGAAATATATACAATATATCCATGCAATATTTTGGATTACACTACTAGATGCACTTCTGCAGGGTCCCTGAAAGTGTTATGTTTCAAGAGTAAATAAAACCAAAATTAACCCATTGACTGCTGATTCGCTGTATAAGGTACTATTCACCTCCAGCAGTTGAATCCGAGTGTGCCACATACAGTGTACAGCTTGTAAAGATTCTGCAGTCAATGGGTTAAGACATATTTTTATTTATTGCTTTTGAAGTTCATATGTCATGCTATGTTGTAGCCTACAGAGTGCATAATTTTACTACTGTCATTGCAATGTTAAGTGTCCCTTATGTGACATCATAGTGCATAGTGGTGTGAGTGGTTATAACAGATGGCCCCTCCAGACAGCCTTCGGCCCCCTTTCGACTCATATTGTATGACCTGTCACTTTGCATAAAAACATGAAACTGTTACATGTGCAAAGCTGTTACTAACCTAAGAGATACAGATGTATATATTGGTGTATCAGTATCAGCAACAAACCTAACTGGATTTTAACACACCCATAAAAAAAACCTTAAGTTTACCTTGAGGGGACAGTTATGCAGTTAATTATCAACTATGCTCAGCAGTATCGTGGAACATATTACATATAATGCTCATGGAGCATAGTACAATTTATTTAATCTACACAAATACTTTTCTTTTATTTGTAAACCTTTCTGAAAACTGTTAATATACGCTTGGTCAAAAAACTGTCATCACTTGAGCTGCACTAATTGAAAGAGAATGTTACATACGTGATAACAAATCAGATTTACAAGAAATTCATTCAATGTTTTGGTAGGATATTTACTCTCCACTAACACTTGTCTACAGGTTGTTTGTTTGTTTGTAGTTAAGCACATAGGGCTACCTCTGCTGTACTTACCACAAGTATCAAAACACTGTTTTTAGCATTATAAGCCTTCAGACTTACCACTGAGTCACTTTGGGGATCTGCAGATAGTAACATAAATATGTGTTCTGCAATCTGTATTGGATCATATTGTTTTCAAAATGTAGTGATTTGATCAGTAAAGTATTACATATCAGTTTTTATTCTTGAAGCTACCATACATCTAACTTTTTAGATAAACAATAATTCTGAGCCCCATCCTGAATTGATTTCAGAAATCGTTAGGAAACAAAAAATGACCAACAAAAGAAATAAGAAAATATCTAAAACCAACTAAATGTTTTAACCATCTGTTCATGGGGTCAGATTTCCAATAATATTTACCTCCACTGATACTTATAGCTATTACTCAAATGCCACAGTTTCTTCTTTGTCCATCTAAGCCTTGTTCCAGGCTTTTAGACTCCCCTTACATCGATGTTCCCTCTATCCTGGTACTGTATATAAACACTTCATTCAGACAATTTTATACTGTTACCATCCCAGTCTCTAACACTGGTTCTTAGTGGGGAGGAAGGGTGGGAGAGTGTCAGTGGTGGTAAGTATTATTGGAAATACATTTTAAATTTAAGTAAGTGTTAACTTCCAAAACATACCTCCACTGACACTTGTACATAGAATCTCACATTGAGAAGGTGGAGGGGCCGGTGAGGGCATTATCCATACAGAAAGTGTCTGCATAGATCATGGGTGTACCAAGATAAGATTGGTACGAGAGTGGGGGAACTGTAATACATCCAGAACAAGTTTGCTCTTCCACCTGAACTTAGTTTCTGTATCACGGGTGGAATTGTACATGAGTGATCATCACTCTAGGCCAGCCCCAACCAGACAGCGGAAGTTCCACTACTCGGGGTTAGAATTAAGGGGTCTTGGTCCCTATGTCCCAGGTTGGTGGCTAGGGCAATTGGACCACAATGTTACACACACACATTATTGATTGAATCCCAACCTGTAGCCATAGTGATGCATTCCAAACCACCGGAATCTGGACGAGAAATTAAGCAACACTGAAGTGGACAAACCTTCTTCTACACATAAAGAAGCCCGAAAGGCAACACTGCAGGCTCAGAATGATGCGATCATGTATGCCGTACTCAACCAAAGGAACAGAATTCATCCTATTTGGGATTGTGAACATTCATCCTCACTCCCCAACTGAGTGTGTAAGAAGCATTCTACATGCCTCCTGAATTATAGAGAGGAGGTGGAACAACTGTGCTCATTCAAGGACCCAGGATGGGACCACTCTGCTTTTGGAATTAAGAGGACATAGTGGACCCCCTTCCATGAACAATGTACTGAAAAAATGTAGCTCAAAAAGAAGGGCCATGCACACCTCAATCAGATAGCCGAGCATGAAATCTGAACCGTTATTATGAGTAGGTTCCCACATAGGCTGGTGCTGCTCTTACCTACATCTGCAGGGGAGGGGGGTGCAAGGCACCTGGGCTCCCTATTGAAGGGGGCCCCAAATCCAAATCAAATGGGGTCCCACTTTGGTTCATTTCAATTGTCATTAATTAACTCTCTCAAAATGGGTTCTGTCAATTTGACCGACCATGTGACCTCTTTATACTCGTTTAAAGTCTTCATAGTTTTGATACAACTAACTTTTAATATATTTTAATAATATATCATCACAAAATTTGTCAGACTTTCAGTAAACATTATGAGTCTTTCACATACAAAAAAAATCATATTATTTAGTGAAGTATTTTTACTAAACTAAAAAGAGATTTGTTCGTGAATACGTCGAGTATTTATCATGCATGGTTTTATTTTTTTGCCTCTAATCTCTCTTGCACCTGGTTCCCCTGTACTCTAGGATCAGCCCTGTACATCTGGGAAAAAAACATCCAGGGAGCCGGGTAGGAGGGCACACAATTTTGCCCTCTTCCCTGAGAGTGGAATAACATTCTGGAGGAAAAGTCTCCATCCACCACCCCAATGACTGGTAGAAATAAAAATACTCACCCCTCTGGATAATCTAGTAGTAATAGTTAAGATAGCTAAATGGGGTAGACAAAAACCCTCAGATGAAGATACTGCCAGATCAGGCAAATAATGTGTGACAAAGATATTGGGGGAGGTCCACATACCAGTCTGCACAATGACCTCTAGCTGGCAATTTAACCAGGCTGCTAAGGACATAAAAAAAAAGAAATCTGATGAGATGTGACTCACAGAAGATACCTTGCCTTCAAAGAGAGCCCAGAATAAAAAGTGTTGTCTAGTATTTCTATAGGTATAAGTGCAGGCAACAAAACCTTCAAGACCCTCTCACTGAACATGACCGACATCAAAATCTGATTTGACATAAAGAGAAAGAGTGAGCAGATGAATCGGAAAAAAAAAAGATTTAACCCCTTTCCTGTCTGACAGAGTGTTGAGTAAGAAGAACTGATCTGAGGACATAGAGAGAATGAGGAAGTGGTCTGTGGACAAACAGCACAAATCACTCTGACCAGTGATGTATGTAGGTCAGCAGCCATGAAAAATAAACCTGCAGGTAAAGGAGATACATGGCATGTAAGAGTCAGATTACAAACAGGTGTAGAGAAAGAACATGTAACCTTAATCTACCTTGGAGGAATCTTGAATGGTCACTTGAGACCAATTACCCAAAATGATGTGAGGAATCTGGAGAATAATAAAATATGTAGTTGTGATAATCAAAGGTAGTCGATAAGGCCGCCGAAAACAATGGTGATTGTGGAAGATGCAAAAACCTCTGTGTTGATTATGATTGATTGGAACAGCATTTTGTGAGGTAAAGAAAGTTGTTTTGTTATAGCAAAGCAACTTTGGATCATCTGCCACGTCCACTCTAGGGCTTCAAACTCCGGACCTCAGCACTGTGAGTCCATAAACTTACCATAGTCCCACAGGGGGTTGAAAATCCAACAGACTAAAAGAAGGTACAGGAAAAAGCGAACTCAAAGTGTCTCCAGAATGTCGAGGATCACCATCCATTGCAGCATCAGAGCCCCCTGGAGGACCACCACAGATTAAATAATGAAAAAACATATTAACCTAAGGATCCCCTACAGAAGTTAAAATGTTGTCTATTGTAGTCACAAGTCTGATATGGAGTTTATTATGAAGAGTATCTCCCCCATATCCAGAGAATGTTGAACTTCTGAAAGTTATTGCACAGGACACTTAAAAGAACATTTTATACAAGTTACTTTTAAAACAAGCTCAATGAAGGTGTTTAGTAAAAATAAAGCATAATACAATAGCAGATACAGGCATGGGGGTTCCTGGAGTTTGAACTCAACCCTTTTCAATTTCAAGTGCCCTCAAAATGCAACAACTGTATTTCAATATCACAAATATATTATTGTTCCTATATGTGTGGTCTTTTACATACTGAACCCTGTCCTTCAAAAAATTCTGTATCTACACCTGATAACATTCATACCAAATTTTATTAAAAAAATGTTACTGAAAACTTTACTAAGTTTGTTTGTTTGGAATATTTGTACAAAGCTTCACCAAGGCTAATAGAATATAGCTGGCCATAATTTTAAATTCATGCACTAGAGAGAAGGCAGCTAATCAACAGCATTCACTGCTAATTCTTGTATGACCAAAGAAGGATTTGAACTGACTATCATTTATACAGCTCACCCAGGGACCAAAAGTATGTTGTGAACCATAAAAACTCATATTCACAGTCTATAAATGCTAACCACTACACTATGCCTAGCCCCTTTTACTGAACCAGTTAAAAATATGTACTTAAAATGTTTTCTAAGAATTACTACAGGATTTTATGTAAAAGTCATAGTCCCTTATAACTAGGAAGCAACATATCATGGCCGTATAGGAGGTAATAATCCTGCAATAAATCTTGTATACTAATAGCTAAAAACTATAGCGTTTTGTTAATTTTAAACAATACACTTTTTATCATTATTTAATGCTTCAATATTTCAAGTTTGCATCAAACAGTCACCAATATCAGAAAAATGTTACTGCAAAAATTAATGAATTATTTCTTTTAACAATTTCAGGAATCCTTCTTGTAATTTAAAATTTATATAAATGAGCCCAGAGAAACTTGTTTTAATTTTAAAGGGAATCATTCCTTGCCAATTTTCACAACATACCCCATGCAATCTAAGTTAATCTTGTTTCTTTGGGAATGCTAACTGTGAATTAAAATGCAATGTATGAAAAAAACAATTAAAATTCACCTGATACACACAAACAAAACACATGATCCAATAATTGAGAACCATTTTTATTTTAACTTAATGGCACTAGAGACATTCTCCATAAAAACTGAACAGAGAATGTTATTTGTCATTGTTCACATAAATCATGGTCCTTCCAAACAGATATGTATGAATCATTATATTCCTAGATAATGAAGATGTGCCTTTAATAAATTAACTTTCGTCTATCTGAGTATGTAAAAACCAAACAAAGATTATATATTTATGTTGTTTACAAACACATGGTTCTACATATTTCACGTAGTTTATTACACCTTTGATAGCAAAAATGTATAAACAACTTAGTTTTAACTTTATTGCTGCCTGATTGAATTTGTTTGTATTTCTTTCAGACAGTTCTTTATGATACAAACACATTACGAATTATATACATTATACAAATATATATATATATATATCTGCTTCTGTGAAGTTACCTCAGAAAGTCTAAATCCAAGCCTTCACTTGTACACATCTGTAACTCTCTGTATGATTTCTAGCTGTCGAGAAAAGAAATTTGATGTTCCTTATTTTGCCTTCAACTTCCTGGAACTAGATTAACTTATAAAACTTGATTTGGTTAAAGAAGGTCAACAATGAATCCCAGAAAGTGATGGGCTTATACAATGGTTTAACAATAAAAAATATCTAGCACCAAAAAGGTAAGATATCTAGCACAACAATGTGCTATCTAAGTTCAATCATAACCTTCTCCAGCTTAGATCTGTTAGACTGGGTCTTGCTGCTTTGGCTTCCTAAGGTTATTTTCCCATCCTTGCCAATGAATAACTGTAACCCACGATCTATTACAGTGAAAAAGATACAATAAAATAAATTTATGTATATAGTTAACAACTTAAAAAGTAAGTTGTTGTAAGACAAAGTTTAAAACAATACATATTCTATAAAATAGGAAACAGTAGGAAAATAACTTATATTATTAGTGATCTTTTGGAATAATGAAACAAATATAGGAGCATATGGGAAAAAGAAAAGAAAGTTCTATGATAAATACATAATGAAGTTAAGCATAAACTTAATGCTAGTTCCTGAATTACAAACTACAGAAATAACTACATGATTCACGATTTATAACTATGTGCAGAAGCAAGATCATATTGAGAACAAATATCTATATAATTCATAATCTACAACATGTTGAAACAAGACAAGAAAACCATACAACCCAAGTGCTTTCAAAAAAGTGCACTCTGAAGAAGAAGGGTCCACCTTTATAAAGTGCTAGGGTTATAGGTTTCATATCTTTGGTTAAATTTATTTCTTGAACCTACATGTTTTATGACATCATGAACATGATGAAAGAAGACACAGTCAAGAACAAATACAAACGTGAACTGTTAAAAACACTTAAGTTTTATAAAATGTTTTGTTTATGTGATTTATCAGTCTTTTTGAACCTACAGATTTTATCACCACAACTAAATATTTTGTAAGAGTTCGTGTATCTACATAGTTACAGGAACAAATATGATGTATTCTTAAAATATATTGAAATAATCCAATTATAATGGATTTCTCTAGTTGTTACCTTGTTTCAGCAGCAAGACTGAATTTAACAAATATATTTGGTGATAAATAAATGAATATCATGAAGGACATTCTTTGAAATATGCTTTTTTTAGTCAAGTATTTATTAACATTTCCCAAGATTTAAAGATAAAAATTATTTGTGGCTACATTATTTACTTTGCACAATCTCACTATCTAAAACATATATTACTTTCAGCAGGTTCTTCATTTTCATCAAAATTACTAGCTTCAAACAGCTCCTTGATTAGTTGGTCAGCATTAACTCTAGTAGAATCCATCCTGTTTTCTTCAGTGAGCTGTTTCTGAAACAGAATCCAAGATCTAAATGTAATAAAATATACACAAGCTGTTTCTCAAATTAAGATTGTTCTTGTAAATAAATTTAAACATTATGTCATACAGTGATAGTTATATTCTGTAAACTTTCCAATGTACAAGCACTTAATATATATATATTGAAAAAATTTTTTCACTAGAACATGTCAGAAAAGCTTAATAAAATATAAACCCATTTTACTGTATTATGAATTATACAAAATACAGACTGTTAGAGAATAAAATACCGGGTTAAAGTAATGAATATATGAGTATAAACACTAGCACAAAAATTGATCTGGCCAACATGAACTAGATTGCATAGATATAAACTCTAAAGCTGAAATTCAATTTAAATGTAACTAAGATTACCATAATAATACACAGCTATTTCACAACTTACACTGATAACATAAATATTTAATTTGGCAACATATGCTTAAAATGTAATGTTAATTTTAGATTAGAATCTAGTAGAAAACAAACACATAAATGAAGATTAGTGCATATCTTTTCATCTGTAAAACCTCACATTGAACTTGGGCATGTAAAATACAAAAGATTATGTAAATCTATATAAAACTCACAATTGTAGATACTAGAATGTAACGTGCAATAACTGGCTCTAACACAGTCCTAGATTTACACATGAATAAAGCAGTCTTGTCTTAGCCTACTTTAGTCAATTAAGTTTTTAAAATGTATATAATAATAATTATTTTATCACTTATAGATTTTTATCAAAATATAATACTTTTTCTTTATTTGTAGAAGATAATCATGACCTGAAACGAATAGTCTATACAAAACCCATAAGGTCAGATAGACATACTAAGGGGTATACAATTCTGTAGCCCTGAATGTCTAAAGGCTTCATCTATGCTTTAAGTTTCTTTGACTCATTTCTCTCTCTACATATATATATATGTACAGTCTCTAGTAGCCTGAAAGTTGTTTTTTTGTTTTTATTTTTCCTAGTTGTAAGCTTCTTAAACCTATTTATTTAAATATACTGGGTATACAGAGATTACATTAACAAAATTGTTTACTTGTGTTTCAAACACAGATGCCTTGATTCTCTGCCACAATGGCTATTGGAATTAATTACACTAAAAAAGGTGCATTGCAGTATTTATGGAATACGACAGACACACAAAACAGGCATAATGGCAACTCGACACATTCAGAAAAGTTAATACATTTGTTTACATAATTTCTGGATACCCTGTATATCACAAAAACAACTTATTCAGAATTTTGTTTGCAGTAAGACACCTATTTCATTATGCATTAATTTGACCTGATACTTGCATACCTTTCCTGTTGGCCTCTTTCTTTCTGTAAGCTTGAAAATTCCTGGGAGTCTTGCTTCATTCACACCCAAAATGACGTTTCTGAACATTTTTATTGTATAAATGAATTTTAAGAAAATTATTTAAAGAACACTAATATCTATATATTAAACAATTTTGATTTGTTAAAAAATTTTTAAGTAAGACTAACTAGGATACGACAGAACAGTTTTATGTTTATTAAAATTATTTATGATGAGCTATTCAATGCCTATGATAATAGTAACAGTACAGGAAAGTTGGTTTGTAAGCTATTAGATATAAAAATGGTGAAAATATAACAAAGTCTCTGTCAAAATATAATTGCTTGATAAAATAAATGTAAACTTTGTGATGATTTTAGTGAGAAGCACTAAATACCAACATGTAGAATAAAATATATATATTGCCAAATAATTTGAGGACAGTTGTACACTTTATGTTAGAGGGGGGAGGGGCATAAAACTTTGTTCATTTTTAAGTACCATTTACGCACACTTATCATCACCAGTGCTTATTAAGGTGAAAAATTTCAGCATTAAAACAATCACATTTTGAGTTAAGTTAGCTTAAGTACATATATGTATATTTAAAAACCAAATTAAAAATAATATTTGCATAGTGTATTGTTAGAATCCTGAATGCACATATTGCTTTACTTTTCGTAGGTTATCATATTTTGCTGATTAAATATAAAATGACCAGTGAGTTTTGCCTGTCAGTACTACAGTTAGAGACAGGCAATTTAATCAATTACCTATGATCAGCGATTACATTGATTAGTGTCATACAAACTAATCAATTAATGTCACATAAATCATCAAAATTAGTGTTTCCAATTATTACTGTTTTTAATTATTCCAACTGCCCAAGAACTCAATATATGGTCATTATGTTTGTTTGTTTTTAAGCACAAAGCTACATAATGAGCTCTCTGTACTCTGCCCACTGCTGGCATTATTGAAACCATTCTTTCATGTTATAAGTTGTTGTTTTTTTACTTCAAGTTTGTTAAAGTTTGGGCAAGTATATCTTTTGCTTTTTTTGGGGGGGGGGGGGGGCTCGTGATTCAAGGGTTTTAGATTTGATTCCCATTATAAATAAACTTTCTTCCAGCACCCACTAACAGCTCCTGGGCTACTGTTTTTTGTTGTTCATATGGGAGAATGTGTACCATAATCTGAGAAACACTGTACTAATCAATTAATTACCAATACCACAAACTGCTCAGCTCTAGTTACATTTAACTTTGATCCTGGTAAATGGGACAACTACCGAACAAGCTTGCTATTCTAGAGAACTTAAATGCTTAAGTGATATTTGAATCAGACCAAAGCTCTCTTCTATAGCATTACAAGACCATATTTGAACTACACTGTGGTTGAACTTGCTTGCCTATTTTATAAACATAATTTTTTTTTGGGGGGGGGGGGGGTAATATACTTAAGAATCAATATATTGAAACATATCTCATAAGAAAACAAACTTCCATAGTCAACTGTTAAAAAATGTACATCATTGATAACTATAACATCACTATCCAAAATCACTGCACCTAGAATGTCCAAACTCTGAGCTTCCATGTCTAGAGTGGGAATGAAAACTATGGTACACTGATGCAGGTGACAGCTGACTTGAATAGCTGGAGTTGCAGGAGTGCCAAAACTCAGATTCTGCTTGAGATACAAGTTTTCCTTCCTTCTCCTCATCAATTTCATTTCCAATTGAAGTTGTATCCCCACCTAAAGACATTAAATTTTAAAATATTTTTAACAGAGTGAAAAATAACCATAAAAAAGTTTTAAGATTTTTAATTTCTAGAGAAATACACTTGTCAAAATACACTTATCTTACTGGCTGCAAATTTTAGATGTTAGAAATATACGGTACTCTTAAAAAGAATATTCCTTTGCCAAATAACAACTTACCTTGTTTTCATGAAACCATCATAAGAACAGTTTATAAACCTCTCACCTAAAGTTAAACTATTACAAAAGATAATACAAACAAATTAACTAATGAACTCACCAGATTCATATTTTATAGTTAATCATGCAAATTAAAAAAGTCCTCACTGTTGTTATTTCCACATTAAAGATAGATTATTTTAAGTTTTCTTTCCCTGGTCAATTTAGTTAAGCCTTCTTTTGTCTAAACAATCATAATTAAAACTTAGAAAAAAATGTTAAAAAGTGGCTAAAAGATTAAAAAAAAGAAGAAAAATGACATACAAATATGGTTATGCCATGAACATGTCTGAAAATATATAACAATTACCAAAAGAGTTGTTTGTTTAAGAGAAAGGAGATTATCTGGTCAATGGTTCAGCCACATGATGTTTTTGTTTGTTTGTTACGGATTTTGTGCAAAGCTACACGAGGGCTATCTGTGCTAGCCGTTCCTAATTTAGCAGTGCAAGACCTGAGGGAAGGCAGCACCCACCGCCAACTCTTGGGCTACTCTTTTACCAACAAATAGTGGGATTGACCATCACATTATAACGCCCCCATGGCTGAAAGGGCGAGCATGTTTGGTGTGACGGTGATTCGAACCCGCAACCCACATTGCCCTAACCACCTGGGCCACCACATGATACTAATTTGTCCCAGAAAACCTCTACTTGGACAAATGAATATTGTATGGCTGAATATTTGACCATATAATTTTTGTTTCCTGACAGCAATTTTAATCATTTCATTATACTTTTAAAATATCTAAACAATAAACAATGAGTTTCTTGTTACCAAACTTTTCATTCATGAAAATGTTGATGGAAATTTTAAATAATTCCTCTCAATCTCATGATTCAACAAAATAAGCAAATTTATTTCTCAACACACAACTATGATATAATATTGTGTGGATAACTAGATTTAAGATCTTAATGCACATAATTTTTTTCTAAAACAGCACTTTAACACTACACGTCTTTAGCTAGTTGTGGATATAACCATAAATGTTTCGTTTAAATGTACAAGGTGTTCATCTACGAGTTTTGATCAAAGCAACACCCATCACAGGTCTGAGTGGATTTCTTGTAGATTATAGCCCAGCATAAGAATTAAAGAGATTAGTAAAACTAGATGTACTTCTGCAGAGTCCCCTAAAGTGTTCTGTTTCAAGAGTAAATAAAACCAAAATTATTAGTAACATATATTTTTATTACTTGCTTTTGAAGTTCATATGTCATGCTGTGTAGTAGCCTACAGAATGCATAATTCTTCTAATATTTCATGGCATGCACATGTTTTGTTGACATCATGACAGTACAAATTGTAACATAAGCATCCCTTATGTGATGTCATTTAAGAGTCTATTGACTGACAGACAGTCAGCACATCACTGTATATTGGTGCAAGTGGTTAAAACAGGTAACCCTTCCAATCAACATTTGGCCCTCTTTTGAGGAAATAATAATTAGTGTCATGAGTATTATTAGAATAAATTATATCGGATAATCATGTTTGTGTGTGTTATTAACGTATTTAGCCACACCTTAGAACAATACACATCTACTCTTTTGAATAACTCTCACAAATGTGTCAGGATTTTCAGTTTTATTCACCATCTGTTAACATATTCTTAAATATTAAGGTAAGTTTAAGTAGTCAGTCTTTACTTCATACTTTTTTCTATACTAATTTGATTAGTTTACTTTCTCCAACAGAGAAAAAAAAGAAACAACAACATTTCCCATAACTTTATCATTTTGTGCAGAACATTTATAAACTACAGACTACTTTAATGCAACTTAAAATGTGCTTTCCTTGTAAACAATCTTTTTACTGTCCCTTATTGTAAATAATTTATTATGTTCTTGTTCCATATTAAGTTTGTGAAATGCTTTTATCAAAACTCAAGGGACTATTCTTATGCTAAAATATTAAAACAGTACAAGTTTTAAAGGGCAAATGAATTTTTTATTAAAAAATATGCAAAAAAAAATCCTGCAATGTCTTTAAATCTAGTTACAAAATTAATGAAAACACTTAACTAATATTTTTTTTTATTAATACAACTGTTATATGAAGCAATTTTTAGTATTGCCTGCAATTTCTTGAATTAGTTATAAGTGTAAAAATATTGTAATGGAAAAAAATTTCACTAATAATTGCAAAAGAGGATTTTTTCAAAAACAAATGTATTTCTTCCAGGAAATAGGTTTGGTAGGTTGATTGTTTGTTTATTTTACAGCAAATCCACACTGGACTATCTTCTGTGTCCACCACTGGGAATTGAATCCAGGGTTTTAGCATCAAAAGTCTGTAAACTTACTGCTGACCCATTAGGGAACCATTTGATCAGTATCTCCAGTTAATCCAGATCCTCAATTTAGAGCAGATAATTCATTCAACTCTGTGATAAACCACAAACAATACCAGTACTATGGATGTAGCTCTATTTCCCTTGAGGATTAAAATGAACCATAAGAAGGTGCATTTGATCCACATAAATGGTCACAAATTTTAGAATAAAATGTTGTCACTCTGACAGATCAAGGGTCCAGTTCATTTTGTAAAAATGCACCCCACATCATTACTCCGCCTCCAAAAGCTTGCACAGTAGAAACACATGAGGGTTCCAAAACTTCATTAGGCTGTCATCAAACTATAACTCTCTCATCTATAATATACAGCTGGTACAAAAATTTATCTGACCACATGACACAATTCCAATTGACAATGGTCCAATCTTGTTAGTCATGGCAAGAATGTAAGGGCAACTTTTTGTTACCAGTGTTCTTGTTTAAGTAGGTAATTCTGGTCCAAGATTAAATCACCTGTGAATTGTTGTATCATTGAATGTTAACTGGTCTTAATAGCCTTGCTAACAGTTGTCTTTATCTGTTTAAAAGCATTTTCTTTTATTCACATATATCCCCTACTTGCAGAATTTTATAGATTTCTTCCATACCATATAGACTCATAAGATATTCACCTTCGATTTGTTAGTAAGTTCAACTGTTTTTTGCCATCAAAGTTACAGCTAATCAGGCTCCAAAAATAATGAATCTTTTTGAGTTAACCAAATTCCCAACCATTCCCTTCTTACAAGGATGTGAATTGGAGAAACAAAATGTGAAGGAACTTTTGAATACTGCAAGCACTAAGAGTGAACCATGTACCACACAATACATATCATCACGGTGCAAGTTACTGCATGTCAATATTTAAAGTGGCTATAAGCATGTTGTATCATCTGCTCTTGAGGATATTGTAGACGTTTTGCTAATTCAGGAATTTGCCAAACATTGGACCAGACCCCCCCTAATTTAACAAATTTGCATTAATCACAGGACCAACAACTTTTCAATATAAATGCACTGATTTGTGCAAATCCACAAATTTTTCACCCTGATCTTAAATGAAGACTTGAGGTACACAAAAATCTGGTTATGCAAAAATCAATGGGGCATGATTTGTTGCTTTTTTATTTACTGAATAGTGAGTGTCCAAAAAGTAAATTTGATAGCTTCACTAGTGACTCAGAAAAATAAAAACTATATTAACAATTGCTTGTCAAGAGTAGTTTACTATCTAATGCTCACATTCCATGACTTTATATTTTTTTGGTCTGTTCACAAAAATTAACAAATTCCAAGATATCCAGGATTGATCTTTTTAAGTGTACTGAGGTACTTTCCACAATTTCCAGACTTTGCAAGAATTGAAACTAGCATTTCAAAATATCTAATGATGAAATGTAACTTTGTAAATAGAAAGTTAAAACTGAAATTTTTTTAATCAGGTCAACTCTCTTTTGACAGGTTTGGTTGATATAACTTATAAATGCACCCTAAGTTGACTTTTTAGAGTTTCCATGCTTTAACTTTTAGTATGTTTTGTGTATCTTCACGAAATTTAGCAAGCTTTCAGTAAGCGTTGAGTCATTTGTAGACAAAAAAATTAGAATTCTGAATGAAGTATTTTCGCCAAAAATTTCTTTGTGAATACATGTTGTCAGTGTTGATTGCTCTGAGAGCAAAGTGATTTTCATGTTAAGATAAAAAATACTTTTCTTCCTCTGAAAATTCTTAAATTTCATTTGCATAATCTAGAAAACCTCCTAAATAAATTTCCAACGTTTTTTACCGTAAAATTTACTATTTCATCTGTTACTTTCTCTACCCTAACTCTATACAAGATTGGTCAATTTGACTGACCTCGTAACCACCATAAAAAAGTATAAAGTAAATCTAAATTACTCTTTTTACTTTCAAGGATAACTTCAAATTGTAACATGAAACTACATTTGTTTATCCTAAGTAGCATTAAACCTGAAACAGTATACATGTTTATACTTAAATTATATTGTTTTATTGCCCTTTGAACCATGTCTACATTAATATTCCTGTCATAAAATTTATAACACAGTTGGCGAACATGGAGCTCATGTTACCTTATTGAATTGCATAATGCACAGGCTACTCGCGATCGTACCTTGTGAAAATTTTGTATTATTATTATTATTCATTTTACCCAATGTATCCCTATCTAACCAAAAAAAGCTTCTAAACTTTTACATTTTAGTTATTTTTATAATAATAAATAAAGATTACACACGAAAAACAAGAAATACAGTACTTAACTGGGTCTTCTTTTTTTTGCTGTCAACTGTTGATGAAACTTAACCCTACTTTTTTATAATAATGGTACTACTGCACTAAATAATTTGTATTTAATTAAATAATGTACCAAAGAACAGAATAATAATACACAAAAAAGCAGACAATATCCTATAATTATCACAATTCTTCTGGCTTTCTAACTATGCAACAAGGGCCATTAAAAATTCAGCTAAGCTAGTCTAAGTGTTTCCCACAGGAATAAAGTTTGAACTGGAAGTGAAATAGACAATTCTCTGTACAGAAAACAATGTAATATAATATGTCATTTGATATAGATTAAAAGTGGCTTTTTATTGCTTATAAATAATATATAATTAAATATCAGAGAGAACTACTGGCAACTTCTAAAAAAGATGATGTTAGAGGTGGGCGTGGCAAGAGGGGGTCTGATTTCTATTTTATGGCTTTGTAACCAAATAAGATTGAAGGCTATAAATATTGTGATTTGCCTGAGCAATGACAACATTATAACGAGTAATTTATGCTAAATTTCATACTTCTCGAACAGGTGGTAAGTAAATTAGAGAAGAGGGGATACCTAAAGAGCAAATGTCACAATTCTCACACTAAGAGAAATTGAGTTTTTTTTTCAAATATTGCCTTATAAAATTAAGAACTTAAACTTATATAATATTGAACTTTGGAGTATTAGTTATGTTTTTATGTTAAGTTTATTCATATACCATGATAAGAAAATAGTTTAAATTTTGAATGTAATTCACTAAAACCTCATTAAATGTGCACAAAAGGATGCCCATTGTGAAAGGGTTAACTGTATTCCTTTAAAAGTATTCAAGAATATTTAATCAGCTACTTCAGTCATTGTGATACCCTCTTGCAAACTAATGAGTAGTAAAGAGTTAAAAAAAATACTTGTTTCACAATTCTTCAGTCACTATGATGTTCAAAGTTTACATCTTGCTGCATAACCATCTTTACAATTGTACAAAAAATTTTTTTATCATTTCAAAATTTCATAAAACAAGTTAATTACTAAACACAATACATTATCCATTAATATTCTTAATGTCCAGATGAATTCCTTATTGTTTAGTGGCTGAATTTATTAAATAACAGTGAAACTATATGATTTAATAAAAACAACTAACCTGATGAATGAGCATCGGTTTTTATTTTTCTGGGAAGACTATCAAAATTATTAATAGTTAAATTGCTTCCAGAAAAGTCTTCTTTCTGTCTTTCTGGTAGTAACTGTTCTTTTGACTGTTCCCTTGAAACCATTGTGGGTCTCATGGAAGGTCTGTAATAACATTATATTGATAAGCCTTTATTCCTGCTTCAGTAATTAAAAGTAGTTTTACGAGGCCCATAAGCCTGTTAGTTAGTAACTGCTCCAGAAATTATTGCCCTATTTCTATCACCTAAAAGATGCACCTGAATAAGCTGGAGTGTTTTAATATTGATATTATAATTATAATAAGAATCAGTAGATAACAAAGCTTAGAAGATTCAGTTAACACACGAAAAAAGAAATTTCAAAAATACAATTCCACTTTTAAATGTAGGGTATAGATTCACCTTTTTAATATTATTCATTGTGAAGAAAGATGCCAATGTTTAATGTGGCTTTCACCTCTGTCCTACTCTCATCAAAATCTTGACTATTCATTTCTCAATCATGCTATTAAATTTTCTAATAATTCTAAATTAAGAGACTCAAGGTAAATAATATTAGATTAAACATTAAAAGATTTAACAGAAAGGGATAAACTAAAAGAAATATTTATCAGAAGTATCTAACACATATTCTGTTTCAGTATTTTGCTATTACATGAAAAACATCTAAAAATAAAAGTAATTACAATGTCTAAAAAATTGAATTAAATGTAAGAACATTAAGACAGAACAAAACAACGTACATCCATGACAGGCTTAAAGAATATATTAAATAGACTGAAGAATCAAAAAATGGAGAATCAGTCAAGAGTACAACAAAGCATAATGAAGTACAGATTAAACCAGTTTAACAGACAGTTTTCTCCTTATTCTGAGAAATCTCTAAACACTCAACTCAATGTCAAAATTTAGTCATACTTTATTAATACTATAATAAGTTAGTGGCTAAAAGCCTTGTACACAACTAGTAAGTGAAATCATTGCCTCACTAACACAGAGCAGAAACTGACAAATCACTTTGGGCCCAAAAACACATACAAAATGTTCCAAGATATTTATATTCTTGTCATTATTTCCACATTCTCAACTTCTTTCATTTCATTCATGAAGTACTGAATAGATGAATAGTGTGGAAGACAGTTGAAAGAAATAATAATGACCTGTGTTTCATTTTACAGCTTCTTTAGGGGTGTACACAAAAACTCAGAATACAACATAAGATGCAAGATTTAGAGCTCTTTAATTATATAAACTGACATAACAACAATATCATGAAGTTAGATATGCATGTCTTGTCCCTCACACACACACACCTAATTAAAAGTTTGATGTTCTAAAGCTAAAGAGCTTTAATAACAACCCTTTCATATTCTGTTGTGCTTGATCTAGTGCATATACCTCTGAAGAAGCTATAAAGCCAAACACATATTAAAAAATGATTTTCTTTGGAGTTCTAAGGCCATTATTATTTCTTTTGTCTTACACCTATGTTTCACTGTAAACATCTGTAATGTCAAGACACAATTGGATAACACTATTTTGTTTTTAGTTATTTATACACAATGAACTTGTTAAGTCATCACTGCAGAACCAGTTAATAATATCAAATTCTGCATTTTACATTCATTTTTGGCTTAATTTATAACTTTTGGCTCAAAATTAGAACCCCAAAGATCGATCAATTTGCTACCATCCATGGCAAAATTATTCAATGTTTTTGTGCATTAAAACAGTTATCATATTTAATCCTCTCATTGCCGTGGATATAATTATGTCCCTTCTAGTACACTGGCACAGTTACATATATATAGGACACACTACATAACCTTTATTTTAGCCTTGAAAAGTGTGATATTATGTAAATAATCTGTTAAATAGATATGGAATAGAATATTAATGTTCCCCTTACCTGTAAATGTACTTCAGATAAATTCTCACCTCCTCATAGAACTAAATAGCTATTACCTCACACCACTGTCAAAAATATTTTTGTGTATGTGACAAGCCTTGACTGAAATTCCCACCCCTACACATATCAATATGTATTGCTCTAGTCTATGATTCAATTAGCATTAGACTGTAGCCCTCCACCAAAAGGAGGGTGTCACATCCTTCATGTGCAGTGGACCCCTAGAACACCTTCTGTATTAAGAAAGGCTCATTCTTGAAAGGTAAAATAAACACAATGGAAGACAGACAGGAGTTTCTGTGAAGAGGTTAGTAGCATTTCTAAAGTTAACATTTTCTATTCCTGAAAATTTATTTCAGATAGATACTCACCTATCCACAGATTTTACAACTAGAATACCACATTGATAAGGGACTGGTGTATATAGAGAAATTCAAAGACGAGCTTCTTCTGAATGATATAGTGTCAGAAAGGGAAAACTCATAGTGTGTGTGTGTAACCTGTTTAGGAGGGGGACCACATCCATCTCATGCAGAGAATATTCTTTGCCCAATGGAGTTGATAGAGCAAAAGCTACAGTCAAAAGAACCTCCTATGTAGTACTAAAATGTCACATAGGTGGGCAGAATGTAGAATGCTCAACCAGCCTATATATCTTAGGAGCTTAACAGAGCACGTATGTGTAGTGTGACTAGAGAAACGAGTCAAGCCATATAGTACTAGAGAAATAATTACCAGTAGAAACAGGTGAAGGGAGGAATCATTCCAGATCTGCATCCTGAGGAGAATGCAAGGCTCATCTGGGTAGCTTTAACCACCAGGAATGATCTCTTGGTGTAGGGATAGGTAAACACTCCATCCATAGTTCCAACTGAGGAGTATGTCTACTTGGTGTCACACAAGTGGGATTACACTAATCCAAAGTGTAACTCTCCATATCAACCTATCCAGTGGTTTGGGACTGGGGAAGCAAGGATTCTCCCTTTACTCTACTAGAAAATAATGGGAGAATGCCAGAGAGGTGCTTGAACCAAACAGAAATTATCACATCTGATTAAAGTCCCACACTGATAAACTATGCAATGAGTTACAGTGAATAAAGAGAGCAGGTGCTAGACAGATGTGGGTGCAGGATAACACCTTGTGTTGTAAAAGTTTTTTTGTGTGTATGTGTGTGTTCCTAAAGTACAGCCTGGAAGGTAAAATATGTGCCCTGTCAAAGCAGTCTTTTAAAAAGTTGGAACTGAGAAGAGGTAGATGGGCTTAACACTGTCTTTTACCCCTTACTCAGTGCAGATTTTGGGAGAAAGAGAAGTAATTACTTTACTTACTACTTGTTACAAACTGAGATCATAATCATCTGTGAAACATATTAGGTAATTATCTCTAAAACAAATTATGATGACATAACAAGTAATAAGCAAGATACAAATGAATAAAAACCCTATAACCCGATCACCTTTGTAAGGTGGACCTTTCGTAAGCGCTCGGGTTATAGAGTTTTTATTCATTTCTATCAGGACTTTTTGAACATACGTGTTTTTCTAACATCATGTAAGCAAGATACTAGTAATTATACAACACCATACATATTTATATATGTATCTAAAAAATAAACTTGGAACTTAGAGAGTTGTTTATCTATAAACATTGGAGTGAAAGATTTAAAATTCCTTAACATGTAGCACCTGTTATTGTGAAATAATAGTTTCAATGTTTATCAACATTAAACTTCTCACAAGTTTCACACTGAGACGATAATAAAAAATTAATATTTTTTAAAGAATTATTTCATATTCTACAATTGAAACAGTCACATGTTTTTTGGCTTTACACTCTTTCTCTCATCTTCAGTACATGGACAAAGACACGAAAGAGGCTAAAGTAGTTACTAAAGAAATAAAAACTGACATTATATAAAAAAATTTAAACACTTTTAAATATAAACATTAATGAGTTCCTGACTAAAAAACCATGTATATTAACTTTTATATTCTAACCTTCTATTTTAAGAATTAAACACTGATTTTTATAATTGAATTTCTTTTCTTACGTTCAAGTTTTGAACTTGTAACTTTCCACAGACTTTTGGATAAATAATTCAAGCATTACTGATTCTTATTATTTATATTTTTTTCTTTGGCCCACAGACCACCTACACAAGTTTACTGGTAGTTATTAAGTGTCAGTTATTGGGATATAAATACAAATTTAAAATAATAATGACCAATGCTGAAATTAAAAGGGAAGGGAAAACATAATTTACTGCTAGCTTTACATTATTCAGTGTCAATTATTAGAAAATACATTTGCACAGATCCCCCCAAAATATATTATTAATATTCACATGGGATTAAACTCTTGGTGTCAGTAAACTGAGACACAGCAAATGATGATAGCATAATTCTCACCATTTCATGAGCCAAATCCAGCCTTTTCATCCAGAATACAAAATTTTCCCAAAATGTAGTTATTTTTCAGCATTTGAAGTAACATCTTGAAATTCAAGCATTTTCAACATTTTCAAGTAAGTGTGGGAACTTGATACTTAAACTCCTAATTTCACATTTATACTTATGCAGCTGAGGTTTATGAAAATATTAACTTTGCAAGTTTTAGACACAAAGACATGGATTTCCTGAGTGCAGAACTTATGAAGAGCACTTAAAATGAATATGTTTAAATATTAAGGCATGGTTCTCATGGAAACAGAACTTACAATCTACACTAATAAATGTACGTTAACATCAGAAACCTGATTTTTTTTATAGCTGAGATCTTTTAACAACAAAAATTACAAAGAAAAATTACACTAAATTTTTGCCATAACTTACGCTTTAAAGCAAGGATCTCCTGAAAGTAAGGTCATCTGTAGGGTCACCTGCAATATAGAATTGTCTTGACGATGCTTTGCACCATAACCTTCAAGCAGACACCTCCGAATGTGCACACCAGCTCCAGCAGATTCAGCCAAGTTGAGGTCAACAAAGCCCAATTTTAGGAAGGACCTGCCTCCCTTTACCTCCTTGTAAACAAAAAGGGTTAAATTGACTAATTAACTAAAACTGGCATTGATCTCCAAGAAATCACCTGACAAAATGTTCCCAATATTTAAATGAAAAAATGCATTATATTTTAGCTAGTACATTACTGAACACTGCAAATTTTGTTAAAAATTAGTAATTCTTCTTATTAACATTTAACATTAAGATGAAGAGCAAAAGAAATGACTCAAATGATAAAAGTGCAATTAATACAACATTTATATGTAAATATTTAAAAAAGAAACTGAATAAAATAATTTATTTACATATTTATTTCTCTTAGTCTAGTAGCAAGTAACACAATCTTCAAACTGTTTAAAATGCAAAAAACATTCAGGAAGAAAATATATCACATCAAAAGTTTATGAACAGGACATGAATTTTCAAACACATTCATAAATGACACTTGTTTTTGGAAGCTGGTGTAAAGTTACAACATAAAAGATAACAACAAAAAGAAACTATTTTAATAAAACCTACTTTACTATTATACAGCTATTACATGTAAATTAAGATACTTCATACCCCCCATGTAACAAATGCCATAAGTCAGCCAGACAACTCTTTTTACTTAAACAACATTCAATTGTAGAACATGTAACTCTTCAGCTTCACTACTTAATGACTTGTTTTAAAATAAATCTTGTTGAAACCACCAATTTTAAATACTGATACATTTTGCTCTGTAAAATTTCAGTACCTGTAGTTACTTTCTAGAAAACATTTCAGTAGATGTAGTTACTTTCTAGAATACATTTCAGTAGATGTAGTTACTTTCTAGAATACATTTCAGTACATGTAGTTTTTTCTAGAATACATTTCAGTACATGTAATTATTTTTTAGAATACATTTCAGTACCTGTAGTTACTTTCTAGAATATGTTTCTGTAGATGTAGTTACATTCTAGAATACACTTCAGTACATGTAGTTTTTTCTAGAATACATTTCAGTAGATGTAATTATTTTTTAGAATACATTTCACTACATGTAGTTACTTTCTAGAATACATTTCAGTAGATGTAATTATTTTTTAGAATACATTTCAGTACATGTAGTTACTTTCTTGAATACATTTTAGATACATATAGTTATTTTCTAAAATACATTTGAATACATGTAGCTACTTTTCAGAAAACTTTCTAATATACTCTTTCATCCAAGTTTCCAACAAACATTGTTAGTGAAAGGAAATATGTTACAAATGGCATGTCAACACTTAACTCCAATACGCATATATTTTATTTTATCACAACCAAACACATATTATTGACCAAAGAGGTTAGCAACCATACCAGACAAAGAGATCAAAATGTATGGGAGATTCAGAAACAGAAATAAAGAAACCTGATAACATGAACTGCACTTGCACAACTATCAAATAACACCAAACCCAAAGCAATTTACTGACAATCTGAAACACAACCCCAGCAAAGGCTTAACAAACAAAAAAATTATTTTCAATTTTCCCTCAACATAAAAATAAAAAGGTTAATAAAAAGCTTTACAGTATCAGTGTTAAACATGTACCACAAGTTGGTACCCAATCTTCTGCAATTAGTTACACAAATTGCATTTTTAACATACAATAACATTAACATAATTTATTTTTATAATATTACAATATGCACCAAAGTATACACAGCACATACATATATCACATAAATGGCAGGACACAAGTTGTTCTGATATACCACAATTGTAACATGACTACAACTACATCTTAAAATAATATTAAGAAAAATAAAATACATGAATGCATATAAATAAAGAAAATGAGCACTTTAAAAATAAAAAAAAGAGAAGCAGATTACCATTCTAACCGATATTCTACACATACAAGGGTCTAATATGCCAGTCACAGCATTGGCACTCATTTTACAGCAGAACCTACATCGAGTACCCCATTTCACATGGTGATCTTTCACCTGTTCCCTGAAAAAAAAAGAAAGAGATCAGATGTTAACAAGAAAGTCCAATATCTGTTAATAAATACAGATTTTCTTTGCTTCACACTCAAGGAAAAGCAGGAATATACAATTTCTGTTACTCAAAAACAACAAAAAAAAGGTACAAAAGATCAAATTTGGAAAGGACTACTGTAAATTATCAAATACTCTGTTTTTTACTCTGTAATTTATTATCATTTTTCAAATTTCAAAATTCAACTTTAGTGTTTGTTTTCCAT